AAAGTACCTGGGGTGGAAATGGAGAGGGAAGAGTCTTCAAACATGAAATGGAAGGCTGGGAGAGGGCTCAGTGTGTAAAGTGCTCGCTGTGCAAACATGAGGACCCCACATAAAAAGCCAGGCAGCTCAATCTCTAACCCAGCACTGGGAGCAGAGATAGCAGGTCCTTGATCTTTGCTGGCCAGCCATTCTAGTTTAAATGACAACTTCATTTCAGTGAGAGACCGCCTCAAAAAGTAAGGAGAAGAAGGCATTGAAGAAGACACCTGACTCCAGCCTCTGGTCTCACATGTGCCCTTGCAGGTGAGCACAGCAGTACATACATGTGCAAACACTCATACATTCCATTCCCCCAGACACACAGACCCCTGACTGCACCTAACAGACTCAGACCCAGAACAAAGCCCGGATCCCATCCTTCATGTAGGCCCTAACTACCAAACAGCAGTCATTTGCAATATTAGTAGTAAGAGCCAGGTGAGTTTGAGGCCAGCCTGTTCTAGAGAGCAAGTTCCAGGACAGCCAGGACTACATGGAGAAACCCTGTGTCCAAAAAACAAACAAACAAACAAAAGTCAAACACACAAAAAAGGAGAAAGTTACCAGTGGAGCAAGGTGGCACATGTCTTTAAACCCGGCACTCCAGAGGCAGAGGCAGAGGCAGAGGCAGACTGATCTCTTGAGTTTAAGGACATCCTGGTCTACAGAGTGAGTTCCAGGACAGCTAGGGCTACACAGAGAAACCCATCTCAAAAGAGAGAGAGAAAAGAAAAAGAACAAGAGAACAAAGGAACAAAGTTACCCTAAATTCCCATTCTTCCTTGGGCCCTTTAACAGCTACTTAACTTCTGCATCTGGCCTGACATTCTTGTGACTAGTAGGAAAACTGCTAAGAATGCATCGTTAATGGAACAAGCCTCTGGCCCTCACCCACCCTAAAAGCTAAGAATACTAGATTACATCTGAATTTGTGGAGAGGTTTTTCCACCCACCAGCAGCCTGCTGGCCTCCTCCGGCCTACAGCCTTGCTGCATGGACTAATTTATGACTTCTCTTTGTTCTGTGTCTGTGGACAATCCTCCCTCCCCAGTGGAGCACAGCATTCAAAATAACTGAAGCATCCCCGTGGTTGAGGCAAGAGGAGCTGAAGTTTGAGGGTAACCTGGACTATGTCGTGTGATCCTGACTCCAAACACCAAAAAAAGCAAAATAGAACAAAAAATCATTTGAATTCTTATCTGCCTCAGCATAAGTCATTTTCTTGTTTGTTCTGAAGAAAAGTCCTTGTTTTAGGTCTACAATCTCCAGACCTGCATCACTCCCCAGCAGGGCAGACTTCTTTCTTTTTGCAGTGTCTCTTTTTACTATGTAGTCCAGAATGGCCTTGAATTCACAAAGATCTGATGAAAGGCATGTGTCACAACTGCCATGTAGGCATGCTTGTGGAAGTCGGAGGACAACCTCTAAAACCTGGCTGGACACCTTCCAGTGAATCTCTTGTCTTCATCTGCCATTTCTCCACAGGAACACAGGTATTACAGATGCCTGCTTGATATGGGTTCTGGGGCTCTGAACTCAGGTTCTCATCCTTGCCTAGCAAGTGCTGCACCCACTCAGCAATCTCCTCAGACCCCAGCAGTCGCTTGGCATTTCCCACTCACAACACAAGCCTAGGGAAACTTCTAAAAGTTGACACAGCCAACTCCTCTACCCTATGGCTGCCTTGAAATGAATCGAAGCATCCGAGAAAGGCTGTGAGTGAGCTCCCTCAGCTCTTACAGCCTCTGCTCTGTGCCCCACCCCAAACTCTCAGCTTCCTATCCAGGCCAGAATTAGAGCTAAGGAAAGCAATAGTCAGTTTGACCACAAGAAAAAAAAAAAAAAACAATGGACCAAACAGTAGGTGGAGAGAACTGGATGGTGAAGGGAGGGTTTCAACAGGAACTTCATAAGGAGAGGGAATTGAAGCTAAGTCTGAAGGCAGAGTCTGGCTTACACTGAGAATGAGTGATGGAGAATGAGGATGGGAGAAGGGTGTGGGACCTGTTGCAGAGGAACAACAAAACACTCAGTTTGAGTAGAGGGTGTTTGCTAGCAGCCTGAGGCTGGGAGATGAGGCCTTGGTTCAGGGAAATAGAGGCCGCCAATCACAGCAGAACTGGAGTCCATCCTGCATAGCTTCAGGCAAATCCCTCACCTACCAGAAGGGACTGTACTTACAAATAAGACAAGATGCTATCACACTCCCTCCCTTTAGAGGGCCACACCCCTTAGACTTCAGGCTGATCTCATAGTTTTAATAAGCAGAAGGGCAGGGCAATGGCAAGAAGAGGTGTGAGCCTAGGCTCCCAGATAAGCAACCTGGGGTCCAGCCCTGGCTGCTGCACCAATAACTCTCAGATTCCAAGCTTTGTTTTCTAGGGTCCTCAACCAAGAACAAGAAGAAACTGAACCCCAGGCTGCTGATGAGAGCCAGAAACTGCTTATCCCAGGTTCAACTTGTCTCTGGGGGATTCTCATTTTACCCAGCCACTCATGCAGGTTTTGGTAGCATGGGGTTGTGCCTCACATATGTTGTTGGACCCTAATTCCCGGGAGAGCCCCGCGACACAAACACCAAAACCAGGAGATGCAACAAGCAAGAGGTGTTTATTGAACGAGTGCACCCGGGTGTCGGTGGTCTCGGGGAAAGCTGCACACCCCTCAAAGGGTCCAGGCTCTTTTTATAGAGCAACACCGCAAATCAGCATACACGCATGGGGCACAAGGTGATTGATTACAAAGTATGATCTCATGTTTGAGAGATCACCCAGGTGTGACCTGTTCTTATTCAAGGGATAAACCATAGAATGGTTGGAAAGTCCCCAGACTGTTTGTTGGCCAGGAGTGACCCAGACAGGGCTGTTCATCTGGAATCATTTGTTACAGGGTTGGGGGCCTATTTCCTTGTTGTGGGCCAAGACCTGTGAGAAACTTTTTTCATACTCTGGCTTTCTCTTGGCTGTACATTTAGAGCTTCAGTTATTCCACAAAGGTTTGATGATTCAGTAACTAGCCCTATTTAACAAGATCAGCCTAGCATTTAACCATTAGCCCCATCACCATAGTAACCTTTCTTGTTCTCATAATTCCTGATTTTTTCCTCCCATGTCAATGTCCATTCTTTATGATTTTCTATATTCCACTTGCAAGAATTATTCTTCTGCCCCTTTCCTACATCCTTGCTCCTTGCTCTGCAAACTAAAATCTTTCAATGTAATTCTAGAACTGGGGAAATCAGCGCAGTAGGGTAGCCAAAAAGCACAGGGAAAAAAAATGTTCACGATTGCTAGTTTCTAGGAAAATGCAAATCAAAGCCACAAGAGACTGTTGCCCCTGATATAACGGCTATTTTAAAAGTAAAATTAAGCCTGATGTGGTGGCCCATGCCCTAATCCCAGCACTCAGGAGGCAGAGGCAGGCAGATCTCTGTGGGATCCAGGCCAGTCTGGTCTACAAAGCCAAAGCTATTACAAAGAGAAATCTTGTCTCAAAGAACAAATCAACCAACCAATAAATAAATTAGTAAATAAATAGGAAGCCTGTCTTGAAAAAACAATAACAAGTAAAAGTAAAAGAGAAAATCGGGCTGTATACGAGCTGCGACTCTAGATCTAGAAGGTGCTGCTCGCTCTGTTGCATCTGCTGCTGCTGCAGGCTGGGAGGATGGCAACTGCCACGTGCTGAGAGCAGGTACATTCATCCCAGAGCAGAAAACCTCCAGCCTGAGAATGCATTGAGCCATACACATCTGCCTTTGATAAGAGCAGTGGGCCATAGCTGTCCTCTGTGTAAAACTCGTTCTACTAAACGTGGGTGTGGTGGAGAATGGCCACACGGGAGTACAGGAGTCAAGATGTAACCCATCCACGAAGACTCTAATACCTCTGAGACCATGAGAAGGTGACGATGCCATCAGCAAGCTGGTCAGAGGGTTGACACGATGGCTCGGGCCAGAAGGATGTCTGCCACTGTGCTTGAGGACTTGAATCCTGTCCCTGGGATCAACAAGGAGAAAAGAACCCATTTTTGAAAGTTGCTCTTTGACCTTGACAAGACCAGCCATTGCTGAACTAAGCTGATAGCCTGAGTTTGGTCCCTAGATCCCATGGATTCCCAAAAGTTGTCCTGTAACCTGTGTATACACACTCTAAGACATTCTCATACCCCCCACATCATACATAACACACACAAATACTACTAGTAATAATAAAAATAACAAAAATAAATGTGAAAGATGAAAAAAGAATTTTAAAAGCCTGCCTCAGTGACACACCTGTGACCTTGGCACTCTGGAGGTTGAGGTAAGATTCTGAATTCAAGGTTCGTGTAATCTACCTAATGAGATATCTCTCTCGCAAAAAAAATGCGTGTGTGTGTATATATATGTGTATATATATATATATATATATACACATATATATGTATATACAGGAAAATAGTGCTTTCTACTCTATAAAATGTAGTTTAAAAATAACCTTTTGCATCACTTAATTGTAGTCTTGGTATTATCCCTTTCTAAATTTTTGAAGTTATGACATTTTTTTTTTGGTTTGTATAGAAAATAATGGAGCTTAATTTTAGAGGTAAAATTTCCAGCAACCACATGTCAGTTCACAACCAGCTATAACTCCTGTTCCAAGGACTACAGTATCTTCTCCAGGCCTCCACAGACACCCCATGCACATAGTGTACAGACGTACATGCGGGCAAAACACTCACACAAAAATAGGCATTAAAAAAAACTCACAAAGTAGTGGATTGTTAGAGGCAGGAAGGGTTAAAGGAGAATGAATATGATCAAACTGTAATGATTTATTTGTATGAAAATATCATAATGAAATCTACTATTTACACCCAACAATCCAGCTTTTGCTTTCAACACAACACAACACACACACACACACACACACACACACACGTTTACATACAAGAGAAAATGTGTGCTATTTTTCTTTCTGAGGAAAATGAAGATGCTTTATAAATTTTCATTTCATCTTGCACAGAAGCCATTCTGGTCTTCTCTGGAGTATCCCAGTTTTAATGTATTTACCACTTGAAGTAAGCACACCTTAAGGCTTGATAGAATTCTCTAATTCTGGGGGTTGTAGCTCAGTAATGGAACACTTGCTTTGAATGCATGAGGCTTTATGTTCAATCCTCAGAACTGATAATGAAAAAAGTAAAAAAGAATTTCCTAATGGCTTTCACAGCTATGGGACTACCTGGGCTATTTACCTCTTCCAGGGCAAGTTTCTTTGACACATCATTCAGGGGATTTGTTCTTCTCATCTGTGGTAGTTTGAATGTAATGGGGCCTTGTAAATTCATAGGGAGTGGCACTATTAGGAAGTGTGGCTATGTTGGAGTGGATGTGGCCTTGTTGGAAGAAGTGTGTCACTGTTGGGGTGGGCTTTGAGGTTCATCCATAATGAAATCTGGTGCCTTCTTCTGGCCTGCAGACAGAACACTATATACATGATAAATAAATCTTAGAAAGAAAAAAGAAAAGGAGCAAGTTGAGCAGAGTAAATTACAAAACGTAAGTTTTGAGAAGAGCTAAATCCTGTGCTCAACCAGATAAATGGACAATGAAATGGAATAAAGGGAGTGGTGACCTTGGGGCAAGACCCCTCCCACCTAAGTTTCCAGCTTGTGAAAAAGCTAAGAAAAAGTTTAGAGCTGGGTGTGGTGATGCACACCTTTAATTCCAGCACTCAGAAGGCAGAGGCTGGTGGTTTAAGGCCAGCCTGGTCTAGGGATCCAGTTTCTGGACAGCCAAGCCTAGGCAATGAAGGAAAGAAAGCTGGTAAAGATGTGATTGAAGATGTAATTGAGGGAGATGTGTTCCAGCCCCAGCAAGCAGCAGAACTTGTCAGCTTTGGCCATGTGGTTCTGGAGATAAGAATAGAAGAAAGGGACAATGGAATTGCACCCAAGACTAAGGAAATCTGCTGAAGCCAGGCATATGTTAGGGGTGTTCCTGAGTAGAGGTCTAGAGAGCTGTGGAGTTGAAATCTAGATTGCCTTGGAAGCCCCAAGATGTTAGAGATGCCCTGGGACACCTGGCAAGGAACCAGCCCAAGGGAAAGAAGTGTGTTGCAATCAACAAAGCTGAATGGAGTTGGAGCTGTGGAAAGCATTTGACATCAGACGTGGAGATGCAGCTTTGAGTTGGTCTGGTCTCAGTCCAGCAGTTCCTCACTGTGCTCCCTTCCCTGTTTTGGAATGGTAGTGTATGTTCTGTGCATTATATGTTGGAAGTATGTGACCTGTTTTTTTTTTTTAATTTGACTTCTATAGGGGATTACAGTAAGAGATTGCATGAATCTCAGAAGAGACTGAACTTTGGACTTTTAAACATTGTTGAGACTGTAAAAGACTAAGGGGAATTTTGAAGTTGGACTTCAAAATGAAGTGCATTTCACATTATGTTGTTATTAAAAGCTTATAGGGGCCAAGGAGTGGAATGTGACAGTTTGAATGTACCCATAAGCACTACTAGGAGGTGTGGCATTGTTGGAGGAAGTATGACACTGTACGGGTAGGCTTTGAGGTTTCCTATGCTCAGGATACCACCCAGTGTCTGGAAGTCCACTTCCTACTGCCTTCTGATCAAGATGTAGCTAGCACCATGTCTGCCTGCATGCTGCTGTGTTCCCGCCATGATGATAATGGACTGAACCTTTAAATTGTAAATGAGCTTCCCCAGTGAAATATGTTCTTTCATAAGTTGCTGTGGTCATGGTGTCTCCTCACAGCAATAGAAACCCTAATGAACCGGCTGGAAAGATGGCTCAGAGGTTAAGAGCATTGGCCCTGAGTTCAATTCCCAGCAACCACAAGGTGGCGCACAACCATCTGTAATGAGATCTGGTGCCCTCTTTTGGATTGCAGGCAAAACACTATATACATAATAAATAAATCTAAAAAGAAAGAAAGAAGAAAGAAACCCTAACTAAGATACCATCTAACCTGTGCTATTTTAGCTGCATCTACCCTAGGAGCTCTTATTTTTATCTCTTCTTTTTTGTGGTTATATTATTTGGCTTAAAAATATTTGGTGGCTTTCCAGAGATCTTTTTATACTGTCCCCCAATTCAGTGTGGTCAGAAAACATGTTTTGTGTGACCTGAAACTTTTAAATGTATTGAAAATTAGTTTTTTGTTTTGTTTATTTTGAAGGGGTTGGCTTTGCTTTGTTTTATATTTGAGTCATGGTTTCACTATGTCATCTGAGCCATGCACTCATGGAAATCCTCTTGCCTCCAGCTCCCAAGTGCTGAAATTACAGTAGTATAATCCACACCAGGCTTTGAGAATTGCTTTATGATATGTGATCTTGAAAAGAATGTCAGCGCCAGTGAGATGACTCAGTGGGTAAAGGCACTCAATACCTGGAAGCCATGGGAAGGCAAGCCATGGGAAGTCAGGAGAGAGCGCATGCCGCACAGTTGCTCTCTGACCTCTGTACATGTGTCACATGTGCAAGCACACACACACACACACACACACACATCTTGGACATTAACACATAAAATTATAAATTTAATTTTAAAAAATGGAGAAGCTGGAGAGACATTTCAGTGTTCTTCCTGAGGATGCAAGTTCAGTTGCCAGCACCTACATCAAGTGGCTCAAAATCACCTGTGACTTCTGCTGCAGGAAGATTCAATGCTGTTGGCCTCTGTGGACTCTTACACACACACACACACACACACACACACACACACACACACACACACACAGAGTTAAAAGTAATTAAAATAAATCTTTGCTTGTTTTGTTTTCCGAGACAGGGTTTCTCTGTGTAACAGCCCTAACTGTCCTGGAACTCTGGAGAGTCACAGATCTTTCTGCCTCTGCCTCCCCAGTACTGGGATTAAAAGCATGTACCACAAACCAGCAACAAATTGTTTTTTGTTTGTTTGTTTTGTTTTTTGAGACAGGGTTTTTCTGTATTGCTTTGGAACCTGTCTTGGAGCTAGCTCTGTAGACCAGATTGGACTGGAACTCGCAGAGATCCACCTGCCTCTGCCTCCTAAGCGCTAGGCTTAAAGGCATTCACCACCAATGCCCGGCTCTACTTCTAAGTTTATTGATAAATATTATTGTTATGTATTTGTGTGTATATGTGTATGTGTCTATATGTGCATGTACCTGAGGTTAGGACCATCTGCTGGAGCTAGAGTTACAACCTGATGTGGGTGCTTGTCTTTCTTTGTCTATGGCTTTCTTGTCTCTACAATGATATCACTGTGGTAGTGTTCCTGAGTTTGCGTCCAAGTTGGCCTCCTGGATGTCCAAATCTGTCCTTATACTGCTGTCCGTGGTTCCCCTTCTCTGTTCACAACCCTGAGACCACTGACAAGCAGTGGGGCTGGGTGACCACGAGGCTGTCTCTGCTCTCTCGAAGAACACTCACCCTGGGTGCCTAATACTGTTGTTTCTTACATTTTTACATGTTAGTTAATGTTTGTTTGTTCCTTCCAGGAAGAAAGGTAAATACGATCTCTTTAATTCCACCTTGGCTGAAAGCAGGATTTTACATCATTTTTTTACTGAATAAATAAACTGTGGTAAGCTTATATGATGGAACACCGTATAACCATGGGAAGGGATGTATTTAACCAGTCACACAAAAAATGGTGTGTGTCTGAGATGTTTTGGACAGGCATATCTGAAGAGACAGAAAATAAATCAGTGGTTGCCTGGTTCTGGGAGGACAGGACTTGGAGGGTGGATTATATATATGGTATTTATCAATAAAACTATTGAGAAAAGAACTAGGAAGGGAAGGAATGTGTTTCAATGAGTGGGCTTAGAAAAGACCAATGTCAAAAACATGTACAGAGGACAATGCCTGCTTTAGAGTATGAAGCATGTCTCTACTGCATAGGCTAGAGGTAGAAAGCATACAGGCATTTTCTATCTATCTATCTATCTATCTATCTATCTATCTATCTATCTATCTATCTATCCATCCTATCTATTTATCTTGGCTTTTCCAGAAAGGGTTTCTCTGCGTAGCCTTTGCTGTCTTGGAACTCACTCTGTAGACCTGGCTGGCTTCAAACTCACAGAGATCTGCTTGCCTCTGCCTCTGCCTCTCCAGTCCTGGGATTAAAGGCATGTGCCAGCACCTCCTGGCTACAATAATTATTTATATGAGGCTTGAAAATTAAATAAAAAATAATGTGTGTGCTTTATTTTGGGTAAAGGTGCTTATCCCCAAGCTGACAACCTGAGTTTAATCCCCAAGATTCCTATAGTAGAAGGAACAAATTGACTCCTGCAAGTTTTCCTCTGACCTCCACACTCAAACTGTGACACATGCAGACACACACACACACACCCAATAACAGATAAATAAGTATGAAATAATGTGAAATGATCCTATAATAGTGACCCTTTCACACACATCCTCATGTCATGGTGTGACCCCCAACCATAAAATTACTTTCATTGCTACCTCATAGCTGTTATTTTGCTACTCTTGTGAACCATAATGTAAATATCTATGTTTTCCAATGGCCTCAGGCAACCTCTGTGAAAGAGTTGTTTGATCCCCACAGGTCGAGACAAGACACTCCCGGCTGTGCTGTTGTGCTGTTTCCTCCCAGGTGGAACATTCCCTCTGAGTGTTAAGCTTAAGAACATTTAGAAGACTCTGGAAGCTCAGGGACTCACAGGACTTACAAGGCCCCTCCCCAAGTTACACAAGCATAAGGGGCTGCAGAGGGAGCACCTCTCCCAGGAGTCCCTAGTATTCCCCAGTAACTTCAGGGGTGCGGCTTGAGTGAGTCATCATCTCCCATACTGGGATGAGATCTTGGTGACACAGCTGACTTTGAGTCACCATGCTCCTGCAAGTAACCCCAATAAACTCATGAGTTCACCAGGGTAGACTTGGGTGGAATCATTTCTCTGGTCTGTCAGCGTCTTATCTGAGGTGAGTAGGTGTTTGTTCACGTCCCCCTGGAAAAGTCACGAAACGCAAGCTAGGGAAAGCCCCAGGCCTGTAAAAGCAGGGGCTGCCTCTTGGTAAAGAGGAAATGAGGTGCA